GGCGACTAGGCTCGTCCTTCCCCTCCTCGTCCTTATACTCCTCGTCCTCCCCCTCGTCCTCCCTTTATTTGGGGGGTTGAAGACCCTTCCCAGTTACCCGCGCCAGAGCATCGATAGATGAGGCACTGGGTGCCACCAACCCTCCGAAGATTCTGAAGCCCCTGAAGCTCCACATGGTCAGGAGCGTCTGAGGCATCGAGAGCGTCAGGAGCGTCAGCGCTGCGGAGCGTTATGAGCGTCGGGGGCGTCGGGACGTCGGAAGGGTTAAGCGGTCTCTTCGGGGCCCCGACACTGCGCGACTCCTCTCTTTTAGCGCGGTGCTCGGGCTTCCCGGGTGGTGTCGGGGCCTCCCGCGTGGCGTCGGGGCCTCCCGCGTGGTGTCCGAGTCTCCCGCGTTGTGTCGGGGTCTCCCGCGGCCCAGACGGGACCTCCCGCGTGGGGTCGCGGCTCCCCGGTTCTTCGACTCCCCACGTTGGCATGGAGTCGGGGGCCTCCTGGGTGGTGTCGGGGCCTCTCGCGTGGTGTCGGGGTCTCCCGCGTGGTGCCGGGGTCTCCCGCGTGGTGTCGCGGCTTTCCCGGGCCCTCTCGAGGCCTCCCGCGTGGTGTCGGGATCTCCCAGGGCCTCCCGCGTGGTTTCGGGGTCTCTCGCATGGTTTCGGGGTCTTCCGACGCCCTGACACCACGGGAGCCCTCCGTTTTGACGTGGTGTCGGGGCCTCCCACGCGGTGTCGGGGCCTCCCGCGTGGTGTCGGGGTCTCCTGCGTGGTGTCGCTGTCTCCCGGGGCCCCGACACCATGCGAGCCCTCTGCTTCAGCGTGGTCTCGGGGCCTCCCGCGTGGTGTCGAGGTGTTCCGCGTGGTGTCGCGTTCTTTTGGAGCGCCAACACCATGCGAGCCCTTTAGGGTGCCCCGCGGCTGGGGGCCCCACGCGCCACCCGGGGACCCAGACACTGGGCGTGCCCTCCGTTCCCGCGTGGTGTCGGGGTGCCCCGGGGCCCCGAAGCTCCTGACGCTCCCGAAGCCCCTGACGCTCCCGAAGCTGCCCGAGCTCCCGAAACCCCTGACGCTCCCGAAGCTCCCGAAGCTTCCGAAGTTCCCGAAGCTCCTGAAGCTCCCGAAGCTCCTGAAGCTTCTGAGGCCCCTGACGCTCCTGAAGCTCCTGAAGCTCCTGAAGCTCCTGAAGCTCCAGAGCGTCAGAAGCGTCAGAAGCGTCAGAAGTGTCGCGAAGCCCCTGGGGCCCGGAGCGTCAGGAGCGTCAGTCAGGAGCGTCAGTCAGGAGCGTCAGGGGCGTCGCGAAGCTCCTGGGCCCTGAAGCGTCAGGAGCGTCAGGGGCTTCGGACGCGCCAGAAGCGTCAAAAGCGCCAGAGGGTTGGCGGCACCGCCTGCCGCATCAATCAGAGCATCATCATCCAGCCGGCAAGTTGTGGGTTTGTAAAAACTTGATGCGCATGAAGACATCTTGAGATCTGTCGGATATCTCGAGCTGCATGCGGCAAACCCGGTTTCCGTACAGTCAGCCCGCATAGTAAGGATGTGCAACCTTCCCAAGGGTGCCCGTGCATTCTTGCCTTCTCGGTCCATCCTTCGCGACTTCCGCTGGCCAGCCTCGTTCGATACGCGTTATCGTGGCCCTCCAAGGCCCTTGCATCCTTACCGCGCGTCCTTATGAGATGGGCCGACTGTACCCCTCACTCTTTCCTCCTCCCGTGCGTGCTGCGCTGCTAGGGTCCTCCTTCCGTAGGCAGAGGCCCCCCCCTCTCCTGCCTCTCCTGCTCCCCCTCCCCTCCCCCTCCTTCCCCATCTTCCCCCCTGGCACTCCTCCCCTTCCCCCTTCTCTCCTGCTCCCGCGTCGCTGTTCGAGGATATGCAAGCTCAACATGGTCAGCCTCAGCAGTTTCCGCAGCAGCCCTCGAGGTCGACGTCTGACGGTTTCCCAGCTGTCGGCGAGGCTCCAGAGGACGAGCTCGCGACCGAAGCAGGCGTGGTGGCCATCGGCACCGCCCACGCCGCTCGACGCCGAGATCGGTGCCGTGGACGAGTCCCAGTCGGCGCGCCGCGCAGGCCGTGCCATCTCGAAGGTCGCGGAGGGCACGGTGGAGATCCGAGGCGCCGAGGGCCCCGAGGCCAGGAAGGCCAGGGCTGCAGCAGCAGCGGCAGAAGCGACGGCCGCAGCAGAGGACCCGTCGCGACTTTGACGTAGAGCGGACCTGCACCGGCGCCACTAGCAGTGGTTCCTGCTGGGGAGCAGTGGAGGCTTCTGTTGAGTCCAGTGTTGCAGGCAATTCAACTCGCATCTGTGCTCAGGAGTGCAGACTGGAAGCAGGGGATTGTATCACTCGTCAGATACAGTGGTGCTTCGTACGTGGGTGGCTCGCGCATATCACCCCTGCCGCCCGCAACCCCTCGGGGAGCTTGTCACTGGGGTCGTGGTGCTTGTTCGGGATGACTTGAACTCCAGTTACCTCCAGGGTCGGACCAGTCTCGGCTCTCTGTAGTTGTCGTCGAAGTTCCTAGGGTCCCAGCTCTTGGCCCCGTGAGTTCCTATTTTAAAGCAGCCTCAGGTCTCTGCGAGACCAATTCGAACCTCCTGGCTGGTATCGGCCAACTGCAAGACTGCCTTGCGAAGCCAATCGCAGTTGCAGGAGATTTTAACCTGCAGCCTGAAAAGACCACGCGAATGGCACAGATTTCTTTACCCGATCCACGATGCATCTGGCGGCCCCGCCCAGTGCGTCGTACAGAGCCACGAAGACGAAATCGACCTTAGACAATTTCTGTATAGCCAGGCGCTCGGACCCTGGCTTCTCCCCCCCCACGCCTTGGCCTCCTACCCGCTTTCGCCTCGCCATCCTGTGGTCCTGGACCTGCGAGTGCAGGGAAACTTCATGATCCCGCGCCCATCAGGCCACAACAGCTCCCCACTTTTCCTACCGCGAGTTGGCACCAGACAGCTGCAGTCATAGACCACGCTATCCACTTGCTCGGAGATGCTTCGCAGCCGCTCTCCGACCAGCAGCGCTCGACCATCCTGGACCATGTGTATGTCACCTCGTGCACGACTTGGAGGAAAGGCAGTCAGTATCAAGACTGATACCCCCATCAAGCCCAGTAACTACCCACTGTGCCCACCCACATCAGCTTGGCAGCCTGTCGCGCTTTTTCACCAGCAGCGCTTTTCTGCACGCCCATGTCGAGGCCGATCGTCTATCTAAGATTTGGGAAGTCGAACCTCAGGCTCCTCAAAAGCGGGCTCTTCCTGTTGATGATCGAGTTGCCCTCGGTCCCCTTTCGGCCTCACGGCTTCGGAAGGTTTCTCGCGGCTTCCCGCGCAGCACGGCCCGAACTTGGGATAGAGTTTGCCCCGTCATTTTGCCACGTTGAACGAGGGGCAGGCTGAACAGGTCTGCCGCATGAGTGGGGTGACTGAGCAGATATGACACATGCCGTCTCAGGTACAGGGAGCTATTTCGACCCCCCAATCGAAACCAGCTTTCAGGTCCATCGGCATGTTGCCTGCCCTGTATCGCGTGTGGGCCCGACTGCGGCGGTCGACGGTTCGAGAATTGGAGTTGTATCGTCGCCGCCCGTATATTGCCCTCCAAACGGGGCGCTCATTGTCGAATTTGTGTACTCGCGAACTCTCGAGTGTGAATATCACAGCAGCATTGCAGACAAGCAGCATTCAGCGCAAGTGCTTCTGGACACGTGTAACTATTATGAGCATTGGGACAGGGAGTGCCTCGCCCAGCGTGCTGCTGCCTCTGTTTTTTTCCTGCTGCCTCCTCCGCGTCATCCTCGCTCAGCATGGTAGCTCTCTGTTCGTTGCCCTGCGAGGTGTGTGTGTGTGTGTGTGTGTGTGTGTTTGTGTGTGTGAGTGTTGATAAAACCTGGAGGGGCCTTAATACTGGGTGTGGGTGGACCGCCTATCTTGTGCAGCTGTGCGTGCTTGCCCCCTGTACCAGTGGACTAACATGCCTGTTCACATTCGTCCCGCTATGTTTTTCCATGACCTCCTTTCGCAGTGCCATGCTCAGAGTCGCGACATGGTCATCAACCAGTTGAATATTGCAGTTCGCTCCCTTGCCAGTTGTATCACGCACGGCTTTAAATGCCAGATTGCAGCCGTGAGGAGCCAAGTTTTAGCCTCTAGCTAGGGTCTCCAAAACAAGTTGCGTAAGGCCTTGGGGAGCGGGACCCTCTATTGACATCTCTGAAAGAGCGTGTTCTACCGCTGCTGGCGGAAAACCGGGGGGGGGGTCACTACCGGTTCGAACCCCTCCCCCCCCCCTCCAGAAAACCGGGGGGGGGTCACTACCGGTTTGAACCCCTCCCCCCCCCCCCAGTCCATCATGAAAACGGGGGGGGCGTCACTACGGGTTCGAACCCCCCCCCCCCCTCGAAAACCGGGGGGGGGATCACTACCGGTTCGACCCCCCCCCCCTCCCTCGAAAACCGGCGGGGGGCGCGGACAGTGGTGGGGACGGTGGTGGTGGGGACAGTGGTGAGGGGACAGCGGGACAGTGGTGGGGACAGTGGGACAGTGGTGGGGACGGTAGTGGTGGGGACAGTGGCGAGGACAATGGTGGGAACAGTGGAGACAGTGGGACAGTGGTGGGGATGGTGGTGGTGGGGACGGTGGTGGTGGGGACAGCGGTGTGGGGACAGTGGGACTGTGGTGGAAACAGTGGGACAGTGGAGGGTACAGTGGTGGTGGGGACATTGGTGAAGGCGGTGGCGAGGACGGCGGTGGGACAATGGGACAGAGGTACAGTGGGGACAGTGGTGGGGACAGTAGGGACAGTGGTGGGAACAGTGGGACAGCTCAGTGGGACAGCGGAGGAGTCAGTGGGACAGTGGGGACAGTGGGGATAGTCGGGCAGTGGTTGGGGCCGTGGAGAAAGTGGGGAGAGTGGAACCGTGGTGGGAACAGTGGTGGGGACAGTGGGGACAGTGCGACAGTGGTGGGGGCACTGGTGGGGACAGCAGGGACGGTGGTGGAACCAGTGGGGACAGTGGTGGTGAGGACAGTGGTGCTGGGAACAACAGTGGGGTATGTGGTGCGGACGGTGGTAGGGACCGAGAGTCGTTTGCTGGCGGTGAGGGAGGGGTGGGGAGGGGTTCGAAACGGTAGGGACTCCCCCTTCCAGTTTTCGAGGGAGGAGGGGGGGGGGTTCGAACCGGTAGTGACCCCCCCCGGTTTTCCGGGGGGGTTAGGGAGGGGGGGGGTTTGGGGGGAGGGGAGGGGGGGGGGTCCAGCCGAGGGGGGGTGATTTTCGGCGGGGGGGGGGGGACCCCCGGGTTCCGGAAGAAGAGGGGGGGATTTTTTCATAGTAAAGCGTCGGTGGATCACGCTCTCTCACATCTCTTGAAACAACCTCGGCATCGAGGGCGGGGCTGGACGGCCCCAGAGGAGGTGGATGAAGGATAGGAAGCACTCGGAGCGCATCCAGAAGACCCTCGCTCTCCTCGTCCTCCAGGGCCTCCTCTGGTGCCATCTGGTTTGGGAGGCCCACGCCAACCCCTCCACGGTCGTGGTCAGTCTCAAGCAGCTTCTCCTCTGGGGGAGGCTCGATCATCCCAAGGGCTGCCAAATCGTGGGGGTCTTGCACGGGGCCCCTCAGTGCCGCTTTCTTTTCCCTGAGTAGGGTCGGTTGGGCCATTGTAGGCCCATTCAAATTTGTGTCACCCGCAGGCCTTGTGTGCCCTCTCGCAGGAAGCTCCCCGGCCTACGTGGCCAAACTGTCAGAAATTGCATGGCGCGATCAGCTTGCAGTGCGTGCTGTCGGGGAAATGGTTTTCTTGACGATGTGCTTCAAATGGCAGCTGTTCGAGCCGCGCTTAAATGCGCCAGATATTCCAAAGCAGCAGAAGGGCTCCCCTCTCGCTTTCGCTACCCAGAGCATTTTGACTATGGAGAGAACTCGTGCCGCAGGATACGACGTGCCGCGAGGATGCCTGTGTGGGCACCACCCAGACGGGCTCCAACACCGCCTCCTCGACTGCCCTAAGACGGAAGAGGCCAGATCAGTATTCACCAGTGGTGAGCTTCTTAGATTGCGAGAGCCCATCCCCGACTCCTCACTCCTCCCCTCCACCTCGGATTTCGGTTTGTGCCTAATTTTGTGGTGACCCTCCTGACGGCACTGTGCTGGAATCGGGGGTCTTTTGGTGCTAGCAACCTGATTCAACGTCTCAGGAAGCTCTTAGGAGAGAATTGCTCATAGATGGTCGTTGCACGTGCCACGGCCATCACCGATTTACCGCAGCAGGATACGCCGTAGCCATTATGCGAGATGGCGCAGAGTTTGCCACCTTCAGTGGGCGTGTAGGTAATTTATGCCCAAGTCTCGGGGGCAGCGGGACATGAGGAGGAGGAGGAGGAGGAGGAGGAGGAGGAGGAGGAGGAGGAGGAGGAGGAGCAGGAGGAGGAGGAGGAGGAGGAGGGGGAGGGAGAGGGGGAGGGGGAGGGGGAGGGGGAGGAGGAGAAGGAGGAGGAGGAGGAGGAGGAGGAGGAGGAGGAGGAGGAGGTCACATGTTACGCTGGAGTCATGAGGCTGCATGGCGGCTCCCAGTGTCTCAGGCAGAGCACGTGGGCTGGTTTCAAGGTGCTGGCAGGCGGCGGAGTGGCCCGCCTCTGTGGCAAGCTTTCCGATGTCAAAGCCGGCCAAATTCTTTCGGAACTGACGGTGGGCAGTGAAGAACATCGCATTGCGAGCGGCAGCAATGCCGCATGTAGAATCGCCAAGGCAGCAGCGAACCCTGGCGGTCAACCTAGCACGTATGAAGTAGAGCAGTATCTCAGCGACACTGCTCTGCTTTGGAATTACCTCAGATACTTAGCCAGTGCGCTGGGCGGATGGCCCGCCATCGCGCCTAGACGCAGCAAGGCGCTGGCTAAACCCGTGAAGAGCCTCTCCCCCCCCCTCGGGCGCCTCCTTTGCCTTGGCCTCCCTGGGCCCTGCTGGCCCTTCCTGGGCCCCTGGCCCTGTGCCTCCTCCTCCTCCTCCGCCTGCGGGCCCTCCTCAACCCCGCAGGCGGGCTCTTTCAAGGAGAGCGGCTCCCGTGGACTGCAAGGACATTGCAAGACGAAACCGCCTCACCATGGAACCAACTTGCAACTGCAAAGAGCACAGTCGGGCGGCCGCCACCCCAAGAGAGACGCTAATGGCCCTGTCGTGTCTGCCACCTGTCCCGTTGGCCCAGCTGGTGAGTGAGGCTCACAGTGGGCAGGGTGGATACGGGTAGCCGTCGGGTGGTACAGCCTCATTCACCCAACCACGTGCTGGTCCTCCTCGTCCTCCTCGTTGTCCTTCTCCTCCTTCTTCTGCTCCTCGTCCTCTTCCTCCTCTTCCTCTTCCTCCTCGCTAATTATCCTAGTGTATGACTCCGCTCAGTCGCACCCCGAGACCGTGTCGGTACGGCGGGCCGGGCGTCTCGCCCCAGACTTCCTCAACCTTAACGATCCAGGAGCTTGAGATTTGCAGCAACCTCAAGGGTAGAGGGTGGCCCACTGTTAGCACGCGGCTCTCGCCGAGTCGCCGCGTGCGCTTGTTTCAAAGGCTTCGAGGGTGGAGGGCGGCTGGTTTTCAAGCTGTGGCCATCGCCTGAGCTCCGTTGCGCATTCGCTGCAGAAGCCGTCGGCCGTTCCAAGGACGGAGGGCCTGTGGTTTTCAAAATGCGGCCCTCGCCTCAGCGCCGCGCGCATTCGTCTTAACACATACATGCGTTTCGATTATTCGTATGGTTGAGGTCCCATGAATGAAATCCTTGTGCGATTCAGGAGTGTCAGGGCGCAGCAGTCACGTTTAATTCTCGGCGTTGAATTCCCAGGGATGGCGCCCTGGCACAGATCAGGATTCTCAGACCTCCGACAGGGCATCTCCCGCCACGGAAGCAGCACATCGTGTATGGGGCCTATGAGGAGAGACCTTGTAGGGAGGGTTTATTGCAACGTCGTTGATGCGCGTTGGGTTTACATGTGGCCATCGCGACGCTCGTCGCCTTCTCTTGGGCCTCCTCCTCCTCCTCCTCCTCTTCCTTCTCCTTCTCCACCACCTCCTCCTCCTCCTCCTCCTCCTCCTCCGATCGGCCCTGCTTTGCACTCGCTTGTTCGCCTGAGGACGAAGTTGGATGAACTTCGAAAACCTATGGACCCCCGCGGTGAGACGGACGAGATGGAGGGCTGGAAAGATGGAGGCCAACCCAATTATTTGGAAATGTTGTCCCAGGAGATCGAATCGTTTGTTCGCCAGAGAGCGAAGGAGGTCTGGGAAGATGGAGGCCTCGAGGTTCAGAGGCAATCGACTGGTGCCGAACTTCGAAAGCCCATGCTACTCAATGATGACCCTGAGATCGCAACGCTTCTGGGATTCTTCAGTTTTACAGCGACCCACGAAGGAATCACTAAGGGCGTCTTGCAAACACTGTGCGCAAAAGGGAGGATGTCCATGGGAGAATTTGCTGAGCTATTAGAAGTGTTGCTTCGCAAAAGGGATTGTGCAGGTGCGGAGGTGGAGAAGGAGTTGGACACTGAGGCAAAGGGACCGGCAACATTTCCCAGCGGGGGCTCCCTCTGACCTCTAAGTGGTGAAGACAGCTGTTGAAGGATTTGTCATCGAAGAGCGGGCGCAGAAGCGCAACGGACGAACTTTGGACGGCATCTATGACATTATGTGGAACAATATTGGCCATTATTTTTCTGCGGATGCATTGTGGCACGCATGTGCCATCAGCGGCGCAGTCCGTGCTTTGCCAGAAGTGGAATTGTGATCCTTAGGAATGGAAAAGCATTTGGGTTTTTGCCAGATTGGGAGACAAGTGCGCAACTGCCGCCGCGTGAAGATTTAAATGAAGGCCAACATGCACACCGAAATTGGAGACGAATGCACGTGCGCAGCCACTTATTTACTTATTTCTTTGGACGGAGGTGTTGTGCGAATCTTCAGCATGTGCCGCATGTTTTCCCAGATCTTCTGCGTTATTGAGCGTGGCTTTGCAGAAGACGACAAGGCGAAGTGGCAGGCGAGCTGGCGCGAGGTGAAGTAAACAAGGGCAAGGGCCGTGAATTTCTGAGCGCATTTGGCGCGGGGGGCAGGGGGCGCCGATCGCACTATCGAAGGCATCTCGGAGTGCATGGTGCCCCCCTCTCTTCTCTTCGGTCCTCTTCTCCGTATGATGCAGAGAGGAATCTGGCTCGCGAGCTGAAGAGGGGCTCAGGGACCCCTCTTCTTGTGCAGGCCCGCTCGCACGCGCCGCCGGCAACGCAGTGCCAGCGGTGCCGCGCCCTTTGGTTTCATCGGAGAGCTACTGACTGGTAGTACAGGGCCCCTTGCGAACGGGCCGCGCGCTCGCCAGTGGTGGAGGAGGGGGGGATGTGAGGGCTTCGGGTGAGGAGGGCGGCGTGCGCGCCTCTTCGCAGGCCTTGGCAGTTCTCTTGATAAGATGTTGAAGGGCTGTCGGGTCGTTGCTGCATGACGCCCGCGCAGGGGAATTAGGCGCACGCTCTACACTGCACCTTAGCGGCCGCATTGACGTTGACCCCTTCATGCGGATGTCCTGTCTTGTCCTGTCCTCCTCTTTCTCCTCCTCCCCCGCTCCGCGAGCGTCGTGGCAGCGTGCGCCCGCCCAGCGCCCGGGTCACTGGCGAACGAGTGCGGCCGCGCAGCCCGTGCCGGCTCGGACCAGCCGCCGCGCCCGCGAGGGGAGCGCCCCGTCGTTTGGGGGCGCTGCGTAGGGGGGCCGGGGGGTGAGGACCGGGCCCTGACACCCCCCAGAGATCCGATTGGCGGTTCGAGGTTCGAGGTTCGAGGTTCGAGGCCGTCTTTTGTCGTTTTCGGCCCCTGGGGGTCGTTTTCGTGCCTTGGGGCCCCCGAAACTCGATCCTAGGTGACAAGCCGCGCCGGATGGAATCTGGGAGGGGCCCAGGGATTCATTTTGACCGATATTCGGCGGCGCGCCCAGGGGGGAAGTGAGAAGGAAAAGGCCCTCTCAGAAGGCGGTGCGACTTCTCAAAAGCCCGCCGGCGTTGAGAAGTTTTCTGTGTCTTCGGGGAAGGCTGAGAGGACTTCAGAAAGCCAGGGGACTTCCGAGCCTTCTGAGAAGGCCTTCTTGTTCTCACTTCCCTCCTCTTTCGCCGCCGACCCGATGTCGTGATTTTCATTACGGGGTTCCCAGGAGTCCCGACGCACTACCAGGGACCGGGTTTCCATCCCCAGGTCGTTTTTGGGCGGTCCCGGGGCCTGGCGAGTTCCTCTAGTAGCCGAGAACTACCACAAACCTCCGCTTTGATTCTGCTCCATGCGTTGGACGGACGGTTTTGGGCTACTCTTGATCTCTCTGGTGGCCCTTGGTCAGGCGTGGGGGATCGTCAACACAGCAACTTTTTGGGAAATGGTCGGGGATGCTTTCTAGCAGTTCGGTCTAGACATGTCTTCTCTCCTCGGGGTGCTTTCCAGCAGCTCCGCCTCGTCGAGAGCTTTCTGGGGGTGCTGGGTCGTCCCGTCGCCCCGAACGGCCGCCAGAGGTCCGAGTTGTGACCCGACTCGCCAGGCATCGAGGGGTGTGAGAATTTTTGGGGGTTGTGTTAGGAGGCTTTCGGGCGTGCTCATGAGTTCCTGCAGGTCGTCTCGCCCCGGGATGCCTGTCAGCAGGCGCGCCTCGGCGAGAGCGGCCCCGGGGTGCCAAAACAGTGCGGCATCGTTGAAAAATCAGGCCCAGGGCCCGAGACCCCATCTTTCTGCCTCGTTTCTCGGGCCGGATCGATCTGCGAGGGCCCCGGGGCCCGAGGAGGGGCGAAAGCGCCCAGAACGACCAAAGTGAGACGCCAGGATCTCAGGGTGTCAGCACGCACCCATGGCCCCCCTGTCGCCTCCTCCTCCTCCTCCTTCTTCTCCTCCTCCTCCTCCTCCTCCTCCTCGTCCGCGCACATGCGCCAATCTCCCTTCCCGTTTTTTCCATATGGAATGGGCGAGCTTCCCTTGTCCCGGCCCTCTTCTTTCGGGGTCGGCAAAGAGGGGGGTGATGACTAGGGGGGGGTGGATATCATGGCGGGGGCCATGAAATCTCCCCAGATTTCACGGCGCCTCTTCTCATTTCGATGCGTCTCTGGCCCCCCCTTTGGGCCGCGCATGTGCCGCCGGTCATGATTTGCACCCCCCCCTCTTGGACGCCCCCCTGTTGGCCGCCCCCGGCCTCTTCGGCGCCCCCGAGTCGGCCCCCCCCCGGCCCCGCGGGTGGAGGAGGGGAGGGCCCAGACCTCCCGCGTCGTCCCTGGGCGTTGTTCTGTCTGTGTTCGTTGGAGCCTCCGCGGGCCGCGGGGGCTATAGTTACGTCGGGCGTGGCCCTCTACAGGAGGAACGCTCAAGAATAGTCAAGACATCGTCTGGGCACGATGCTCGACTATTTGTGTTGTGACTGTTGTTGGCTATTTTTGCAAATTGTTCTTCCCACGTCCGCCTGTAGGAGAACCTGCCCGACCCGAGGCTACTCGTCGCCGCGGCCGGATCCGCCCTGGGAGTTCGGCCGGGGCGTGCCCCTGGACAGCGGGCGGGGTCCGGGGGACCGACGCTGCCCCCGAAGCCCTCTCCTCGTGCCTCTGCTTCGCCCTGCCCGCCTGCCCTCGTCTTCGCTCCCGGGCCCCTCGGTTGGCCCGCTCGTCGCCGCGTGCGCTCGGGAGCCAGCGCGGGACTCCAGCCCACGGCCAGATAAGAACCCCTTGCGGCGTGGAAGAGATGCGGCGAGAGGCTTCGATTCACTTGTCTGCTTCTGGGTGCCCTTCCCGGACGCCGGGACCGTTGAAAGACGACGCAGGATGAACCGCAGGTATCTAAGCCTCCCAGAGGGGGTCGGAGTAAATGGGGTCGGAGGATGGCGCCGCATCGCTGATGTGTCGCCGATGCGGCTCGATGTGGAGCCCGACTTTCTCTACGCCGACGGCGCCGATGGATCGCCAGCGTCGCCGATGCGTCGCCGACGTATTGCCGATGCATCGACGATACGACGCGATCCTCCGACCTCATTTGGTTCGACCCCATCCAGGAGGCCTCCACGGTACCAGGGAGGGGGTCGATACCTCTGTTGGTCCATGCTGTCGACAGACCGCGGCCCTCTGAGGTGCGGTGGGGAGGCCTCAGACGATCGACGTGCCGATTCTTCGATGCTTTTCGGTGTGTCTTCGGTTTCGGCCTTCGGGAGGGGGGCCGTCGTCGTCGTCGTCGTCGTCGTCGTCGTCGTCGTCGTCGTCGTCGTCGTCGTCGTCGCCATTCCCAAGAGAAAATGGACGATCAGAGAAAGCACGTGAGTAAGTCGATTCCCCCCCCGTGGCCAGCAAGAGGCCTCGAAGACATCCCCAGGTCTTCCTGGGAAGGAGTCGAGAGGTCGGGAGGCCGCGTGCTGAAGGGGCGCCGTTGGAGGTCTGGGGGAGGGGGCGCCGCCGAATGGGACGGCTCCTCAGGCTCGGGTTGTGAAGACGAGTAGGAGGAGGAGGAGGAGGAGGAGGAGGAG